CGTAGTTGATGTTACAGTTTTCGAGGGGGTTGTTCTGGTACAGCATAGACGGTGATGGCGTTGCCTGGGAACTATCCATCCTCCTGATGTTTCTCATGGAATAGATGAAGCCATTCTTGTTTGTGTTGAATTCTTTCGGCGTTAGGATGTCTACATATCACCAAAGGGAGGGAGCTCATACTTTGTTGGACGCCGAGCTCCTTTGGCTCACAGCTGGGAGACAGCTACCAGTGATATGAGCAGAGATCATTACAGGGTGTGCTGGATCAAAACCTTCTTAATACCCCGAAACGCCGGCCTATCGTACCACATTATTGCGTTTGTCGTCGCATTTGGATTGGTAGAGTACGAGACGCTGTATGTGTCAGTTGTGTACAGAAGAAGTCGTGTGCTAGCTCAGCACTTACCGTAAATCATAGCCGGTCACTATCAAACTGAAAAGAGATAACAGAATCGTCGCGATCAGAAACAGGACTGTGACAGATAGTGTGAAATAACGAAAAGGGTATGGACGAGAGATCGCTACGCTGGGATCACGGAGGGAATGCCTGCGATTTACGTGTGCTGCCGTGCTTCAGCCTTGCTCGATTCCAAAGCCACAACGCCTTATTTTCACAGGGTGCAGCGAATGATGCAACGAGGTCCTGTAACTGCAAAGCTGAGCTGCAAGCCTGGAGAGGCTGCAGACGTCTTATCTCTAGGGGGTAAGCGATACATATCCACAATCCAGGAGCTAAGGTTTGGTTTTGGTCAAGGTACGATAGTTGAAATTCCCAGCCGACGTTGCTAGGAAGTTGCCCAGGTCGCACTCTGCCTGCTTCGGGTTCAACACAGCCTCATCATATGTTATCTAATCATAACATCCTGCGCAGTGCGACCCCAAAAGCCACATGCTGTTAAAGTTGCTGTGAGTCCTACATTGCGAAAGTTTCCAGATCCCTAAGCTTGCCCGCGGCTCAGAAATATGAATCGAATTGAATCGAAACCAGTCTAGTCATCGTTGGTAAGTCAATCAGACGAGGCTTTGGGGCCATCCTGAGTCTGATTACGAAGGAGCTCGTATTTATTGAGTTACCTATGTCATAAGTGCTGCTCGCGCTGTAGTTAACACACCACACTAAGAGCAGGGCTAAATGTCCTCTCGTACAACGTGTATACTCTTAGGGTAGTAGAAATATTGTTATATTATACAAGCGTGCCTTTGTAGTCTTCTTGCTGCTGTGTAGGCTCAAATGTTATGCTGTTAAAATAAGATGGGGACGCAATAAGTACGAGCTCCTTCGTATCTAGGTCGCGAAGCGCCAGAGCGCTAAGTTAGCGCGAGCTGGTACTCGGCCTGTTACATACATGGCATTTCCTACATATTTCCTAAAATACCCTGGCGAGCTCGTTGGTCTGCCTTGCCCGTGCGACGAGACTGCAAAAGAAGAGCGGCTGCCATCAGGCCGGCGGCTGTCATCAGGCATGCGCGCCAATCACGCTCTTCGAGATACGACTTCTAGCCGCCCGTATGAGGAAGCCGCCAGGATCATCACATCGCCTACAAAATTAGGCGTTTCGAAAGTGTTGTGAACTCTCGGAAGGTCGTCTGAGTCTCATATATATAGGATCACAACTTGAGCAATGCGAACTGTCATCGATTCTTGATTTGAATATACAGACAATGTTGTGCCAACTTTGTATCGACATGCTCAAAGATGAGAGTGGGCGGAGGTGGACCGGAGGCTTCGACTATACGACCGAGCATCACAAGTCAATTGCATCTCTGCAGAGATCCACAGAAGCCAATTGTGCGATATGTGTTGGGCTTTCGAGGACACTTGGTGACTCTGTCGGCGCGCAAAAGCAGTTATCGCAACCCATCCGAGCTGTGCTACGGAAGAGCGATCCTGAGTACCATGGAATTCCAGGCGTCGCATTCCTTCTCGACTTCGACTTGGGAGGCAATCGTGAGCGCGCTTTTGTACTATACGAAGGTAAGCTACTGTTCCAATACGAACTTCAGCTACTTACTTCCAAAGATAAGAGCCAGATCATCAAGGCACCCAGAGCAGTTCCTAACGACCCCTTGTTGACTGCACGAAACTGGATGAGTAGGTGCACCTGTGCCGACTTCTGGAAACGTCCTGGAAAGAAATGGTACCCTCGACGGCTTTTGGACCTCAGAGACCTACGTACCCGGAACAACAACAACAACAACAACCAGCAAGGGAGGGTTTTCTTGGTCGAATCGAGTGAAGTTGCGGGTCTGGGAGAAGTAAGATGCGAAAGGAAAGCTAGCCATCAGCCTAGCAACGATCGATACGTTACATTGAGCCATTGCTGGGGTGTACCCAAGGCGGGAAAGCAGATACTTCGGCTGACCTTCGACACCGAGAGAGACTTCAAGAGAGACGGTATATTGCTACGAGATCTACCAAAGACCTTTCGCGAGGCAGCTGTGTTCGCTTCACAGCTGGATAACGTGGGGTATATATGGATCGATAGTCTTTGTATTCGACAATCTCGAACAGATACCGGTCTTGACGACACACGTGAGAAGCGAGATTGGCTTGAGCAAGGACGTCTGATGGACAAGGTCTACCGGAAAGCCTATCTGAATATCTCTGCTACTGCTTCTCCCGACACCAACGGTGGGCTATTTCTAGAACAGCGACTCAAGACGCCACGGGACGACATTGTAAATGTCAGATACCCTGAGTCTCGTCTTGGGATGAAACCGAAAGCCATCACCAGGTGCAAGGTTGTAGACGTTTCGGCTTGGGATGACATCGTAGAGCATGCTCCAGTCAATCGGAGAGCTTGGGTCCTGCAAGAGCGTTTTATGGCTCCTCGGGTCCTTCACTTCAGCCATAACCAAATGGCATGGGAATGTACCGAATTCCAGGACGCGGAAGGACTTTCGGAATCGCATTTGACGACACGAGTCGTCAGAAGTGACATTGTTCAAGATGGGCTGTTCAAGGATTTGACCGCGCATGCCGGACGTCGCTTTCGAGAGACGCGATTGAGAGGAGTTCCGGATCCCGACGAGCGAATGCCAGACTTGTACATCTTCGAGCTCTGGAAACATGTCGTAGAATTATATTCGCAGACACAGCTCACACATGACAGCGATAAGCTCATGGCTCTTGCGGGAATTTCTCGTCACTTCCGAGAAAAGCTTTTCTCTGCTAACAACAAGTCGCAATTTGTTGCAGGCCTATGGAGCCAGAATCTCGAGAGCCAACTGTTGTGGCAGGCGAACGAGGTCTACGTGGATGGGCGATACGACAACCCCGCCAAGCGCAATGATGCAGGACTGCCATCCTTCTCGTGGGCTTCGATAAATAGTCCGCGTGGCATCACATACGGTGACGTTACAAACTACGCGATCACCGACGCCTCGGACACGTCGCTCGCAGATCATGCGAGTGAACTACTCTTCCGCATACTTGATCATGAAATCGTTTTAGTCGATCCACTTAACCCTTTTGGAATGATAGTGAGCGGTCGGTTGCTACTCAAGGCTCGCTACCTTCAACGTATCGAGTTGCAAAGGCTGCCAAAAAACAGTACTTGCTGGCGTCTGAAAGATGCTACCGAACGTTCACAGGAGTTCACCAACATGTACCTCGACACACCTGATCACGCGATAGAGCTCTTCAGGAAGAACTCAGAGTTATACTGCATGCCTGCAGCATACGGCGAGAGGACTGTCTTGAAAAGAGACCGGGACCTCTACTGTCTGCTTCTAAAGTATGAAGGATCAGTACTCTTCCGAAGGGAAGGAACGAGCAAAGGTCGCTCCTATCAGGGATTCACTCGCATCGGGATTGCGAAGATGTCTAGTACGTTCGGTCACAGGGGACAGGAAATATTGTGCAAAAAGGAGGTCGATGAAGTGTTATGTTTGTGCTGATGGAAGCGCGTGTGGAATTACAAGGAATTTGACCTGGGAGATCATTCGGCGTATTGTTGATGTTTTTGAATATGCTTCGCTGCGTCAAAGAAATACTGGTGTGTATCGTAGTGATTATGTAGGTATAACAAGTATTCATCAGGTCGTATGTGCGAGCGTAGAAGATCGGGACCCCCTTCACGATGTAGCATAGATACTCGAGAAAAGCGTGAACGGTAGTGTATACCTCTTGGCGGGCCGTAGGCCCACAGGCGTATCCATCAATTTTGCAGGCATTGGAGGCCGATTGTTATGATAAGTGCGGATGACTCGACATATTGATGCCATTAAGACTTTCCGCTCCTTAGAAGTCTCTTCATCATGCTCAACATCCGAAGCTGATAATAAGTTTCTTTGTCTTGCTTCATCATCTAGAACACTATCAAATTTTGCATATTCTGAAGAACATGCTATACCCGACGTATGACGTGTCATTTAACCAAGCCCACGCTGCTGCGACTAACTGTGAAAGCCCAGGAGAATTGTATAAATCCATTCTCTCGATGGCATCGTAATTTTGAGTCGAAATAAATTGAACTGTCCTAGCGATTAAGCCTTCCCCTAATCTAGCACAATTCTAATGCAGTGCTGTACTTCTAAGTGTTCGCGGAGAACAACACAACTGCATGTGGAATTATTAAATAATACTGCTATAGACCCTATAAAGAAGCTCATATTTATTGAGTCCCTACTTTGCCTAGAAGCACAATGCTTGTGCCTATACGCCAGCAAGGAAATAACGAGAGCATACGAAACCGACATAGTACACGCTCTACTACTTGTAAAGAATAAGGTTAACATCTTAGGGTGCTCTACATAATCTATGGTGCGTTATGTTAATTAAAGTAAAGAGCGCTCTAGCCGTAGGGGACGGTTTGAAAGAACGAAGTTTCCGCAGAATCCTCAGGAAGATTTTCTGACTAGAGATTTGCCAATCTCACTGCCCCGCTATGAGCCACATTGCCGATATTCACCGCGAGGTTCAATGCCGAGCATCAACCCCCAAACAAATTCTGATTATATTTTATATAAACCAAAAATACTTCACAAAACAATTTAAGGGCGCTTGGTCTAGGGGTATGATACTCGCTTCGCATCATTACTGTGACAGAATTGTGAGTGGTCGTGGGTTCAATTCCCACAGCGTCCAGTTTTTGGCGCCGTGAGCGTCTTGCCTACACCGATGCGCATATTTTTGCACGAGAAACAATCAGCAAATGTGGAAAAGAATAGGAGAAAGCTTTGGCTTTTCTAGACGTCCACCATCACAGTTGTGAGGAGACACAGTGGTCGAACTTGTGAAGAGCTGCTAGGTCAAGGACTGGTTTTTTTTTATGTGAGCCCAACTCCCAGCGTCCAAAGTGTGCGAGTTGCACGTACAGAGAAGCATGTATTTGCTAAGTCCTTTAGCCCTAAAAAGCCATGACACTAACTTAATAGCTTCACAAGGGATGCTTGAAACCTAGTTGTGTATTCTATGCGCGATGATAAATATGCTATAGTAATCAATCATCAGCTTGTCCGCTCCTCGCCGTTTCACAGAACAAAGATTCGTGCTCTTTTGTCGCAGTGTGAACTCCATAGTTGTGAGCTCCTTCATCAAGACAAGGTAATAAATAGTACGCTTTTGTCAAGACTCTGTCAGAAGAACAAGTGCGCATGTCGCAGGACCAAGTGTCTCTTCATCATGACAGGACTTATGAGCCACGGCGGAGATTTTACACTCGAACAATACGATCATTTGCTTTCAGCACTGTTCTAGGATGTACCAGAGGCAACAAGACTTACTACGGGCGAATACAAAACCAATTTTGTCTATCCTCGTACGCTCAGAAGTATGGAGACTTGTGCACTCTCCTACAAGCACTTCTCTGGACAGGATACCTGTCCATATGTGAGATGCTTTGCAGAAGACACGATGAATAGACAAGACTGAGACAATGGGTTGTGGCAAGGTAGAGCGACATGCATATGAGCTTGACATGATTTATGGCCCCCGGAACCACAGCCAGAAAATCTTCTTGGTAGTTCCGCTTGTAGTCGTCAAACATGTCACTTCGACTTAAAAGCCTGCGCATATTCATTCTGACTTGTGGTAAACTAGACACGTCTCTTAAGCGTTGACGGCTTTACACATTCTTACTGGAGCTCGTTACATACTACGCATGAGCTCCGCGCACGCCGATGAGAATTACATCGTCTAGATGTCATTTCTCCCTGAGGCAAGCGCCTACCTAGTACGTCAGCTTGGATATGGGCGCCGCTGGTCCCTGTGGTTCCCGTTGACTATGCCAAACTAAACCTCAATCGCAACAACTTACTCTCCTGGCTTGCCGATGGATGACCGCAAACGCTGACATGCGGAGATATTGAAACCAACATCCTCCGAAGGGTAAAATGATGTCTAAGCTGTACCGCATTATGAGTGCGACCGTTCGTTCCACTTACAGGTTCTCCACGTGTACAAGAGGACTAAAGTGTTCCCCGGAGCACCGCCAGGCGCATGTATGCGTTCCTAGTTTGTCAGCTGTACTCGATAAGAGAGCTTGAGAGGGAGTTTCATGTAACATTGCAAGAACATCATCGGCATGGTTGAGCATGGACGGTCGAGTGACTGCTAGACAAGCGACATGACAAGCTGCAAAACTAAACGATGGTAAGAAAACCGAGAGGCACATCCAGACACACGATACCAAAATGTGAAACGAGTGTGTATTTTGTGATCAACCCAACGATGGAAATAGGATTAATCATCGAGACAATCATGCGGGCAGTCAACCTACGTGCACCAGTGGAAAACACAAGCGAATCGCCTGACGAAATGATATGACGCCTTCGACAACATGAATATTTGGAGTACAGCCTGTGCTCTAAGGCCAGTGTATATGATATTTACGTACAGAGAATTACAAGGAGCACTTACCATGAGCAACGTTGTACCCCTATCACAATACGAGTATGACCAATAATTTGCTCCAGCATTATAGTCGATCTTTTCTCCGAAAAGAGGGCCCCCACCAAGTGTGCGAGCGAATTTCGACAATAAATCTTAATTAATGCATTCGGGACATCTTAGAGAAACTACTCTGAATTATTGAACTACTTCCAAAGGACTTCAGCACAATAATTGTCATCTATCTGGGGACCTTAGCAAGGTAACCAACAGTCAATAGTTCGAGTAGCCTCCATGTTCCTCCGTAATGTGTCATAAGAGCGGAATGATGTTCAGTGCAAGCAACCCATTTACTGGATTTGCAAAGCTCATGTGCGTCATATCATCCCAATTTCAACACGGTGGTGAAGCGAATCATTCAAGATGAGTAGACCACGAAGTCTCACTTTCACGCCATTCAATCACGCTATAAACCCTCATACTGTGACCACGAGTCCTAACTTTCACAATCAGGTGTAGAGTACAAAGCATGTCACGAGCGAAATGGGTGCTCTCGACTCCTACACAAACAACTATCTCGAGTCTCTTTCATGAGCTAGAAGTACACCCAAACACCCTCTATACTTCCACTCTCCAACAAGCTACCACCAAGATGCCTACTCAAAACATCACCACCATCCCCATACCCTACCAGCACCACACCCACACCCACCAATCCTCCTTCCACAATCCTCTACTACGAAACCACAAACCCCTCCGCACCCCGCAACCCCTTCCCGTCCCTCCTCCGTCTCCCCACCTCACTCCGCAACTAAATCCACACATCCACCCACCCCTTCACCATCGCGCCCGAAAACTCCCACCGCACATCCCTCCCCCAACCCTCCCCCATCCTCACAACCACGCCTCCCCACCTCCCATCCCGATAACTATACCTCGAACCCCGTCTTCTCCCCTTCCAGCACACCGTGTTCACAAATACACCAGCCGCTCTCCCCTTCGCCCTCACACACCTTATTAATAACCAGTGGAGTGGTATTACGCATATCTGCATTCAGCTTGGATACGGCGATATGCGATTTTTGCAATCGGGGTGCTGGGAGATGGGGTTGTACGGACACTGGGTGCGGTTGAGGGGTTGGGGTTGGTGTGTGAGTGTGGAGGGGGTGATGGGATACTAGGCAGGGGAGGGGGGTGGATTTAGAAGGGAGGGCTTGTGAGGGGTTGGGTTTGGTTGGGGAGGGAGGATGTAGAGGGTTGAGTTGTGCTTGAGGAGTATGAGGGGGAGGGGGGGTTTGATGTGGACGGGGAAGGTTGATGCGGGTAGGGAGTGTGGCGAGGAGGGGTGGTGGGTGAGATTGGGAGTGGGACTGGAAGTCTTGGTTCTTGGTGGATTTGGTGATGATTGGTGCTCAGGGTGGAACCTAGTTTTGTGATTCAGAGGGCTGATACTGGGTTTGACACACTCGAATATTGTCCAGCCCTTTGCTTCGTATTGATGCAATTATATGCTCGATATGCTGTTCACGGAAGTTAGCACAGCAGGGTAACAGGCGTGAGAGATATCTGATAATGTGTCTGCATACTCAACGTATAGTAGAGGATGCATCCCATGAGCTTGGTGTTATCTAGTCACCTCTTTGCTACTTTACAGACTCAGAATCCAAAATCGCACGTTGAGATGAAATTTGATCAATACCCGCAGATTCATAGCCTTACAAGCAATAAACTTGAAGTTGCGCGATAGTCTCCCCTTTTCACCATTGACGGCAAGAAACATACTACAAACGGAGCGATAGGCAGAAGAGTCGTTAATTCACCGCCCTCACCTCAGCACGGGTATATACAAGACTAGCGTGCCGAAAACAAGGAAAATTCGTCATGGACAGGAGAGGTACACCCTCCCAATCCTCGTGAAAACAGCCATAGGCCATCAGGTTTACCCCAAAAAAAAAGCGCCTCGCTAGTTTGCAACCACACAAAATGCGAATGCGTACAAAATCGGAGAGATGAAGAACCAAACCAGCAAACGCACATAAGTCAAACTCCAAACGTTGATCATGAGGTTTTTTTCCCCTCGAAGCGCCGGTAAACAAAAGAGCAGACAAAGCAAGAAAGACGTTTCCAAAGAAGAGTAAATCAGATCAGTCCGTCTCAAGCAACTGCCTAATCTTTTCATAGAAACTCGCCGGATACTGTCGAATCTCCTCATCCGTAGGCGCGCTCTTATTTGGATCCCTAAACCGATCTGCCACTCTTTGGATAATCTGGCCTAGCAGGTCCTGCGGGATCCTTAGATCTTCGCCGCCGTCGGGGTACAAAAAGGGATCGCGCTCATCGAGGAGCTGCGCAATGTTTGGCCGTTTGGACGCGTCGCGGATGAGGCAGCGGCGCATTGTGGCTTTGAGGCCTGGGGGAACGCGGACCTCGCCGACACCGAGGTCGGGGAATTTGATTTCATAGTCGCGATTTACAATGGCGAGGACACGGGCCATCTGATTGGCAATGTGGGCGAACGGTGGGCGACCGTAGACCATTTGATAGAGGATGCAGCCTAAACTCCATACATCGGAGGGTTTGCCCAGTGCCATGTCTTTGCTGCCGTTGCCATTGGAAAGCTGGCCTTGGGCGCCGCCGGCAGAGTCTTCGAGGGATTCGGGAGACATGTAGTTTGGTGTGCCAATGTGGGAGTCGCGGTGCACGTTAACTGTGTGGTCGACTTCGATGGCGTTGGCGATACCAAAGTCGATGAGCTTCAGACGGCCGGAGGTGAGGAGGAAATTTGCGGGTTTGAGGTCAGAGTGCACAATGTCATGGTCGTGAACTGCACCGACGCACTCGAGCATTTCCTTCCAGTAGTAGCGAGTAAAACTCAAGTCAAGCTTGCCATCGCCGTCGGCTGGGTCGAGCTTCATTCGTATAATGCGTGCCAGATCTGATTCTCCGAGTTCCATGAGCTTTGGCTTGTTAGTGAATTGTAAGGCGGCCCAACAGACTGAGATGGATTCGAACATACCACACTGAGTACTTGCCGCTGCTCATCCACCTCCCAGTCGTAGAGCCGTACAACCCTGTCCACGTTCTTGAGCTTCTGCAGCAAGTCAATCTCGCCCTTGTACCCTCGTACCGCAGCTTCGTCTGCATCCTCGAGCTTGACTCTCTTGAGTGCTAGGAGCTTAAAGTTCTCCGCCATGACCCGATACACAGCCGAACTGCCTCCTCTTCCTATTCTGTCCATTTGCGAGTAATGCTTTCCG